CGATCTTGAAATGTTTATATGATGAACTACAAAAAATGACACTAGTAGAATAAAAGTCATTGCTAAAAGTCAGAAAAATTGTATTTTTTTTTATTTATTTTTTTTTTCATTTCGTTCTTTTTCTTTTTCATTATACTACTGCTCAAAACTACTTTGAGGACAGTAAGATTTTTAACAAAATTATTAACTTCTATTCAGCAAGGATGCATTAAATTCAGCTTTGCCATCACAGGAATAAGTTACATTTTAAAATATATGGGGAAAAAAAAAATCACAATAACACTGTTACTACTGTATTCTACTTTATCAAATAAATGCAGCCTTGGTGAAAATAAGGGACTTCTTTTAAAAAGTTTTAAAAATCTTACTGACCCCAAAATATGTGAATGTTAATATATAGTTCTCTTTAAGCAGCTTCAATTAAGCCAACTATTTTTTCAAGAGGGTAACGTTGCTTGTTCTTTAACTACTTTAAATGACGTGTAACTTTTATCTTGTAAAGCTACAGTTTCATATTAACTTTCGCAACACTGCTGGAGTCAATGGTACATTGATGAACGCTAGTTGAGAGGGGAAATGAGAGTGTAATTCACCTGCGTTATCTGATACAAAGCCGACTCTGGCCGACTGCAGCCTCTCCACGCAGTCCAGAGCCACCTGGCACCTGGACACCAGGTAATCTACACACACAAGAAGGTCTTTTAATATTTATTACGCACTTGTAGGGCAATTCCTGCTGTGTGTGGTGTAATCAGTGGGAGGGTTTAGGGTCATTTGAGCTGGTCACTGACCGGCTGAACTGGTGCAGCTTATGTGTGCGGGGTCCTCTAGCTGATTCAGGCAGTCCTGTACGATCCTTCCCGCCTCCTCCAGAGCTGCTCGCAGAGCCGCCCAGCGCAGAGAGACCAACTCACTCTCCAGAGACTGCTCACGACTCTCCTACAGATAGAAAGACAATGAAAACAGGCATTTTAGACTCCATGTTTGTCATATTTACAGCGTATTTCTTCTGATATAATGAATCTGAATGCATACAAAGCCACTATTGTAACAGGACAAATACAATCAACATGTAAACACAGAATATTCCACCTTCTCATTGAGTTGGTTCTGCAGGGCCTCAGCAGCTTTCACACCACTCTCCCTCTCATTGGTCAGACTGCTCTGCACACGCTCTAACTCCACCCCCAAACTGGCCAGCTCCGCCTCCTTCTGAGATACAGTCTCCATAAGCCCCGCCTTCTCACTCTCTAGAGCAGACAGCTGAGTACCGAGCTGCTCATTCGACTATACGAAGAGAGTGAATAAAGTTGTCAATTACAAGATTTAATGTGACATTTTATTGAGAACAAAAATCATGAAATCACAAGAAACTAATGTTACTGTTAACTATAAATATTAAAAATCATTTTCATTCATTGAAAAAGCTGAAATAAAATATAACAAAATTACTAAAACTAAAATGAAAATATAAAAATAAAAGCTAATTCAAAATATTAATAAATACTATAATAGTATATAAATAATACTAAAATAGTAAAAGAGAATGAGGGTTAGACATGAAAAAAGTCAGAGATACTGAAAATAGAAGAGTTAGGGACTGTTCACACAGAACGCATCTTTGCATCTAAAAACGCAAGACTCAGGAATGGTTTTTAAAAAAGCGCAGCGCAGAATGCCGCCTCCACCATGTTGCCGTCAAATAAAACTGTTGCCATGCCAACTTGCTACTGTAAACAAAACCTCACACTTGCCCCACGTCTGGGACCTTCTGATTGGTCCACTGTTTTGGAACTGATATTGATGGACTGCACTGCATGTAAAAGTTGAAATTCTTTTTGAATTGACACGGCGTATTAACCCTTGTGCGACCTTATGGACATTTTTGTCTTTTTCAGTTTTGTTTTTTTAGATAATTTTACCTGTGTTAATGCCAACTGCATACATTTTGGCACAGGTGTGTATTTTTATTGGAATTTTAATATTTCACCCTAATTTCCTTTAATAAATCTATTTTACACTAGTAACTAGGTACAAAAAATAGTTCCTCTCAGGACCTTAAGGACAAAAATGTCCTCATTGAAACCCATTAAAACTGCGATTTTTAATTCCAGGGCCATTTAACTATAAAATGATGCAATATTTGTTAATAAGCTTTCATTCTGTTGGCAAGTCTTCAAAATTTAAATTTTTAAAATTTTTTACTAGATGGTGCCATTTTTTCAAGTTTGGCGTATAAAGCAAATACTCGCTTTATTCCTGTTTTCTGCTTATGCATATTATAGAGTCAAATGGATAAATTATGCAGCTATAATTGTGTGGGTATGTTGGTATGGATATTAGAGTGTGGTTTGTATTGTGTGTCCTAAATAAAATTTTTGTGTGTTTGTGTGTGCGCACCTGTAATGTTTGAGAGAGAGAAATTATACTCTACTGTGTACGCCAGCGGAGCTTTGCTGGAATCTAATGGGAAAAGTTTGGTACTGCACCCAAACAAAACCTTACTAAAAGCTCATTTTTGAGATATCAACCTCAAATTTGGAACACATTTTGTTTAGATTTATGGCTTTGATTCTCTATCAAGTTCAAAATGTTTTATAAAATATATATTTTATATAACAAATTGCTCATAAATCATTTTCATAAACTTAAACCTCTATAACTTTTTTGGTTTCAATTTTTTTACAACTTCTTTTTAACTTTAACAATAATCTGTCAAGGGTCTTCTTTAAAATGAGACCAAACTTAAGTCTGTACTTCCAAGCTTAACATTTTTTTTTGTTATTAATATTTTTGTCCTCTATGAACCTGTGTGTAACTTTTTTAAATTGATGCACAGGGGTTAATAACACGGCGCACATGTGCGGGACGCTGCAAAAGGTGCGAGATACAGATCCGTCATAGCCATACCATTAGAGCACTGCAGTGTTGACATAATTACATAGGCCAACCCAGCTCACCCTGGTTCCCTCAACAAAAACCCAACAGGAATTTTGGATTTTTGCAAAAAATAAGCTCTGCGACCAACAAAATTTTATGAATGTTTTGTTCATCAAGATAAACTCCACAAATTAACACAACTATTAGGAATTTTGAAGCCTAGATGTAATCTCCAGAAGTAAAAAGTTAAACACAGAATATAAACAAACTACACCATGGTCACAAGACTTCAACGTCATTCACCATTAAACATTCATTTTGTTTGGCATGATTACATTTAATGTCTCCGACAATCTCTGTAGTCCCATATAGCCACTTTATAGCAACCGCTTTTTTCAAGACAAGTAAAAGCTTTTTTTTTTTAAATCACAAGGGAATATTAGTTATGTATTTTATGTTGTAGAATAAAACATGAAAATATCTTGAGCTTGTGTTAACCACAGACCACAGAATTAACCACATTAACCACAGAAATTTCAGGCATTTAACCGAAAACCTTCAGAATGATAGAACTGGAAGTGCTAAATTGCTACTTTGTTTCAGGGTTTTTACCTAAAAATACATCATCCCTGCAACACTCTATAAAGCTTATTAAAAGTGAAACTGATACAGTCATGCTATAGATGTTAACCGTGTCAGTGTTTTGAGGACAGATGTCTTGAGTTGAGGCAGCAGTTGAGGTGGTGCAGCAGGTGTGCAGGTGACAGAAGAAAGTGGGATGGAGGGGGAGGCGGGGTGACATATCACCTCCCACATGCAGTCTGGACACATTAACTCAGGTAATTCAGCACCCCACAGAATCACCATGTTTACCTGCGCTAGACTAACAGCAGAGACAGTGATACATGGAACCTGTGCTGGGCTGAGAGCTGAACAGGGATGTATGGAAGAGGGTTAAGATTCGACATTTCTTTAAAGGGGTCATGAACTGAGAAATGAAACTTCCGCTTCAACTTTTGACATGAAAGAGTTTATTGTACTTCAAAAACATCTTGTAAGTTTAAGTTAAGCATCTTTAGCTCCGCCCACAAATTCACACACGTAGGAGGAGGCAAGTAAATATGAGACAGATGCAAACACAGGATTACTCAAGCAAGAAAATGATAGAGATTCATCCAAGCATTACAAGACTCTGAATAACAAGCTGGCTAATAAGAGGTCTGTAAACTGGGTCTGTACAGTATATATATATATATAAGGTGTTTATTGTGTTTGAAATGGTTTCTTGGCATTGCTCAAGGATCTGGTAATGTCACAAGTGTGAGTAACTATGTTTTTACCATGTCTCTCTATTGCTTTGTCTGTTACAGATTGTTTGATATTTACAGAGTATTTACACATTTTTAAACAAAATGATTCATATTGTTTTCAGAGTACATCACAGCAGTGTCCATTTATTATTTTAATATGCAAAACTGTTAGCTAATCACAGCCGTGGGCATTCACTTCCAAGTCTTGAATGCGGCATGCCTATCAAAACGGCGTGTTTCAAAGAGAGGGTCAAAAATAGAATAGAATATTAACCTATTATGGTGTTTTTTAATTTAAAAGTTTGCTAACATTATAAGTTGACCTCAGAGAACATTATAAAATGTAAAAAATGTACAGTTCATGACCCCTTTATACAGTATTAGGACAAAGAATGGAGATGGATTCATGACAGAGGTGAAAAGGAAGAGAATGATGGGTAGAGGGTGAGGTCCCACCTGTTGGGAGGAGGTGACGGTACTCTTCAGGGTCTCTAGTTCAGATCTGCTGGACATGAGCTCGGCTTGTAGAGCTTGAAGCTGCTCTAACTGAGCCTTCTCCTACTCGTGTACATACATGAGGATAGGGAAGTGTAAGACAAGCATACTACGGATACATCACGCAGAGGAAGTGTGTGTGTGTGTGTGCGCGCGCATGTGGTTTGTGTCCGACCTGCTGACTGGTAGCATCCTGAGCGGCTTTCAATCTGTCCTGCATCTCTTTTTTCACATTCTCCACCTCGTCCTGGGCGGCACGGGCCACCGTCATCTGACGCGTCACCTCGGCATTCTGAGAAACACATAGACATGTACAGTTTAGCACAGAGCCAAGACTCTTGGCTGACCCAGTTCTTTTCCCAAGGACGTGGCACCCACTGTCAGGATGTCTCTGCGGTGGGATCAGAGCGTGCTGCTGTATGGCAGTGAGTGTGATGACAGCCTCTAAGCATGGCAGAGGACCAGAGTGCCAAGTTTCATCTGTGTAAGAAATAGAGCAGAGTCTGCAGGGGAAAAAGTCTGGTGAAGAAGCTAAACCACCTGCAAGTATACTGACAGGCCTGACACTGGAGCTCAAGTGAGCAGTATATAGTGTGCACACTGTGTATGTGCACTATGCAAATTTCTCCATCTACTATCTACATGGAAAACACAGAATACCGACTGCATTTGCCAAAACAAGGATGCTGAGTGAGATACTGCATCCCACAACCCAATGTGCTTGACCTTCCATTTCCAATGTGAAGGAAATGTGGAATAAATGAAAAATGAAATACACACACACACACACACACACACACACACACATATATATATATATATATATATTAGGGCTGTCAACGTTAACGCGTTAACGCATGCGATTAGTTCTTTTGAACTTTCTATTAAAGAATTAACAGAACAGGAAAAAAAATAACTATTACCTAAATAATTAACTATATTTACACAAAAATATTAAGCAGCACAACTGTTTTCACCATTGATAATAATAAGAAATATTTTTAAGCAGCAGATTAGAATGGGTTCTGAAGGATAATGTGACATTGAAGACTGGAGTAATGATGCTGAAAATTCAGATTTGCATCACATGAATAAATTACATCGAACAGATTACAAAATAGAAAACAGTTATTTCAAATTATAATATTTCAAAATATAATATTTCTGTATTTATGATCAAATAAATGCAGCATTTGTGAGCATGAGAGACTTGTTTCAAAATCTTATTGACCCCAAACCTTTGAACGGTGGTATATATATATATATATATATATATATAATTGCATTAAACACTTGTTAATTCTTTAATTGCATGTATTAATGTGATCATATGCCCTATAAAAATACACATATATTCATATACAGGCAGTGTGTGAACTAAATGTAGGTGCAAGGACATCAATTCACCTTCCTCAGCAGGTCAGCGTGGCTCTGGACCAGCTCTGTGTATTTCTCCTTTAACTTGGTGTAGCGTTGCTCATTAGCTTGTGCTTTTCCTACAAAAAAAACACAAAACACACAACCAAAATATCTACATTAAGTATCAAAAACCCAAGCCTTGATATGCCTCAGACCATGCTCTCTGCGTCACAGAACAGTTAGCACCACTGAGAGCCTCAGCACAGGCCTGCATGTTGGTGAATTGGACTGTGCACTATATGGTTTATTAGCATTTGATTGGAGGCTGCAGTGAACTGGAGTCCCTTCTGACTGTGTTCCTCAGCTCCAGAGAGTAAACAGACTGTCTAATGAATATCCATTACTGTCCTGCATCTGTACTGATTCTGCACAGCCCTTTAAAGGGATAGTTCACCCAAAAAAGAAAATTCTGTCATCATTTTCCAAGTTGTTCCAAACCTGCATGAGTCTTCTGTTATTTTGAATGTTGGTAACCAAACAGTTGATGGTAGCCATTGACTTCCACAGTATAGAAAAATAATACTATGGAAGTCAATGGCTACATGTAACTGTTTGATTACCAACATTCTTTAAAATATCTTCTTTTGTGTTACACAGATAAAAGAAAAACTTGAGGGTAAGTAAATTATGACAGAGTTATTATTTTTAGGTGAACTATCCCTTTAATATCCTGGCTATAACATTGTATTTAAACCATAATGTATGCTGACTTATGAACGAATAACTGATGTTCCAAAAAAAAGCAACAGTGTGGGGTGAACCACTGAGTGTAAATTAACCAAAAAGGAAGAAAAGCCTGTTTTTTTTATTTGCGAAAGAGGAACAGGTTGGTCTTGACAATGGTTTGTCTTGAAGCCCTAATTTACAGCTGTCAGTCCAAGTTCTCTAAATATTAACAGGGTCGTGAAAACTTAATATAATAATTGAAATAAAAAAGTAGATTTGTACTCTGAAAATATTGTATATTGCTCCAACAAAAAACTCTTACTCTCAATTTCGCTCAGGCTGCGCTGCTCTTTCTCGGTGTCTTCTTTGACCCTGCGCAGGTCGTCTAGCTCGACCCTCAGGAACTCGCTCTCACCCAACGCCTGCTGCTTCAGGTGAGTCTGCTCCGCAAGCTCCGCCTCCAGCTCATTTACACGCCCCCGTAGCGCTTGACAAAGACGGCCACTCTGAGAAAGACCAAAAGAACGATTAGTGGCATATAGATTTCATTTTTACTTCTCTTCCACTCTACATGATCCTTCAAAATGGTTGGGGGCAGTAAAATATTTTAAAAGAAGTCTCTTATCAAAAATACAGTAGAAACAGTAATATTATGAAATATTACAATTTAAAAGAATTGTTTTCTATTTTAATATATTTTAAAATGTAATTTATTCCTTTGATGGCAAAGCTGAATTTTCAGCATCATTACTCCGGTATTCAGTGTCACATGATCCTTCAGAGATCATTCTAATATGCTGATTTGATGCTTAAGAAACATTTCTTATTATTATCAATGTTGAAAACAGTTGTGCTGCTTAATATTTTTGTGGAAACCATGATTCTTTCTTAAAACATTTTTTAAAGAACAGCATTTATTTGAAATAGAACTCCTTTGTAACATTACAAATGTATTTGCAATTACTTTTGATCAATTTAACACATCTTTATTGAATAAAAATATGAATTTCTTAAAAAAAAAAACTAAAAAAAAAACATTTCTGACTCCAAACTTTTAAGCGGTAGCTTATCAAATTTGACCTCCGCTCGTCTCCCACTCTTTACCTCCAATCTGAAGGACTCCAGCTCCTCTTTCAGGGCCTGTAGCTCCGCTGTGAGCTGCTCAATCAAACGGTCTCTGAGATGAGAGATACATATTCATGAGTCTTGTGTTATAATATATTCTAATAAACTCAAAGAGGTTCCTACAACTTATTAATTATATTCTCCAACAGTATCTCCAAGTCTTACTTCTCATCTTTGCGCATGCCGTTCTGACTGTTGAAGTTGAATGGATCTGTAGCGGCCGAGGTGCCGAAGAGGTCGTCGAATTTTCTGTCTACAGTACTCTAATGGAGAAACAAAAATCCCTGTCTTTAGAAACTCAAGATAAAAGGAAAGTTATACAGACAAATTTGGATAGTGAGATTTTGTGTGGTACCGGTAAAGGTGGGATGTCCGTGTCCACCAGGTCTTCTGTCTCTACTACATGTTCACTCTCAGGGGACGAAGACTCCACCGGAATCACCACCACTGGACTGATGTGCTCGGAGAGGGCTGACGCCCGCAGGAAGTTTGGCGGATTCTGAAGAGAAATGAAGAGAGATGTGAAGAAAGGAAACTACTGGAATGCGTTTTCAAACAGGTTTCCTTAAATATTTCCCTTGTATGCTATTGGTCAGGAAAACAGATTAGCCCCGCCCTAGTCTCATGCCATTGGTTGAGCTGATGTCACAATGTTGTTAACATGATGGTCAAACAAATGAAAAAAATAGCTCGCTGTGCCTTTAATTTTAATTCAAAATATAAGAAATGTCATGAAAATGGAAGAAAAATGTTGTTTTATAGGGCAGCCTACAGTATTTTCTTAGAGTCCAGTTGAAAAACCTGATGCTAGAAAACTAAGCAGGCAGATATGTAAATGAGTTACATAATTTCTTTCCACTAGCCGCATTTTTGGACTCAGGTCAAGCAGGAATCTGTTTGGTATGCAGGAGTCTCACCTCAGGAAGCTGTGGGATCTGAATCAGTCTCTTGAAATACTGCAGGTTACTGGAGCGATAGAACAGACTCTTCAGCCTGGAAAGAGAGCGAAACAGAGCGAAAAGAAAAGATTGAGAGAGTGAGAAATACAAAAGAATAAAAATAGTGTCAGTCTGCGTGACTCATGGCAGTAGTTCTGACTGGATAGTGACTGACAGACTCACTTCTTAAACTGCTCCTGGAAGCGATCCCTGTGGCCCTGCAGAGTATCTGCTGGCAGACCTGGAGGACATGAGAATGAGAGGACTGAGAGAGCACACTATTTTCAGCTCTACTTTTATTACATTTTATTATAATATCCAAAGGAACAATGCCAAATACAGAACAATGACAACTTTCCTACTAGAATACATAGTTAAAATAAAAAAGAATAATAAATAATTACAAATATTAATATTAGTGCTGTCAAAATTAGCACATTAATGCATGCAATTAATTTTTTCAGTTTAACGCATTAAATATATTTAACGCAATTAACGCAGGGGCGGAGCTAGGGTTGGCCACCCCACTCACAACTGCTGCTTCGGTCTCTTTTTTTTTTTTTTGACAAGAATTGCATTTATTTAGACGCGCACTCTAACTTCACACCAGCATCAGGCGCTAGTCAAACGAGCGCAGAAAAGGTACAGGTGATGAGGGAGCTTCAGTAGAACAACAGTGAACTGCAGTCAGATGAGATGCTTTCAGGCCATACGTCAGTAAAAACAAATTTTCCTGTCCTGTCAGCCGTTATACTGTGCTCGTAGTGCTCTTCAATTGCACGCACAAACTATTTATATTAAAGTGCAAAAGAAACGACGAGCATGCAATGTCATAATTATGTCGTCAGTTAGCCTAAGTCATGAAGTTACCAAAAAGGCAATTAAAGCTGCCTCAAAACTGTGCATGCATGTAAGTATTTGTTATATATGAGTCAGATTTAAGAACATGTCTCTGAAATTCAGTGGTTTTCAAAACTGTCCTGGAGATGCCCAGCACTGTCTCCCTCATCTAACACACCCGATTGGAAAGTTATACAGACAAATTTGGATAGTGAGATTTTGTGTGGTACCGGTAAAGGTGGGATGTCCGTGTCCACCAGGTCTTCTGTCTCTACTACATGTTCACTCTCAGGGGACGAAGACTCCACCGGAATCACCACCACTGGACTGATGTGCTCGGAGAGGGCTGACGCCCGCAGGAAGTTTGGCGGATTCTGAAGAGAAATGAAGAGAGATGTGAAGAAAGGAAACTACTGGAATGCGTTTTCAAACAGGTTTCCTTAAATATTTCCCTTGTATGCTATTGGTCAGGAAAACAGATTAGCCCCGCCCTAGTCTCATGCCATTGGTTGAGCTGATGTCACAATGTTGTTAACATGATGGTCAAACAAATGAAAAAAATAGCTCGCTGTGCCTTTAATTTTAATTCAAAATATAAGAAATGTCATGAAAATGGAAGAAAAATGTTGTTTTATAGGGCAGCCTACAGTATTTTCTTAGAGTCCAGTTGAAAAACCTGATGCTAGAAAACTAAGCAGGCAGATATGTAAATGAGTTACATAATTTCTTTCCACTAGCCGCATTTTTGGACTCAGGTCAAGCAGGAATCTGTTTGGTATGCAGGAGTCTCACCTCAGGAAGCTGTGGGATCTGAATCAGTCTCTTGAAATACTGCAGGTTACTGGAGCGATAGAACAGACTCTTCAGCCTGGAAAGAGAGCGAAACAGAGCGAAAAGAAAAGATTGAGAGAGTGAGAAATACAAAAGAATAAAAATAGTGTCAGTCTGCGTGACTCATGGCAGTAGTTCTGACTGGATAGTGACTGACAGACTCACTTCTTAAACTGCTCCTGGAAGCGATCCCTGTGGCCCTGCAGAGTATCTGCTGGCAGACCTGGAGGACATGAGAATGAGAGGACTGAGAGAGCACACTATTTTCAGCTCTACTTTTATTACATTTTATTATAATATCCAAAGGAACAATGCCAAATACAGAACAATGACAACTTTCCTACTAGAATACATAGTTAAAATAAAAAAGAATAATAAATAATTACAAATATTAATATTAGTGCTGTCAAAATTAGCACATTAATGCATGCAATTAATTTTTTCAGTTTAACGCATTAAATATATTTAACGCAATTAACGCAGGGGCGGAGCTAGGGTTGGCCACCCCACTCACAACTGCTGCTTCGGTCTCTTTTTTTTTTTTTTGACAAGAATTGCATTTATTTAGACGCGCACTCTAACTTCACACCAGCATCAGGCGCTAGTCAAACGAGCGCAGAAAAGGTACAGGTGATGAGGGAGCTTCAGTAGAACAACAGTGAACTGCAGTCAGATGAGATGCTTTCAGGCCATACGTCAGTAAAAACAAATTTTCCTGTCCTGTCAGCCGTTATACTGTGCTCGTAGTGCTCTTCAATTGCACGCACAAACTATTTATATTAAAGTGCAAAAGAAACGACGAGCATGCAATGTCATAATTATGTCGTCAGTTAGCCTAAGTCATGAAGTTACCAAAAAGGCAATTAAAGCTGCCTCAAAACTGTGCATGCATGTAAGTATTTGTTATATATGAGTCAGATTTAAGAACATGTCTCTGAAATTCAGTGGTTTTCAAAACTGTCCTGGAGATGCCCAGCACTGTCTCCCTCATCTAACACACCCGATTCAACTTGTCAGCTCATCATAGACTTTAAGAGCTGAAGTGGGTCAGAAAAGGTAAAGAGTTGTGAGAAAATATGATGCGTGTCAGATCCGCGTCATGTCCAGCAGCAGTAGCTCTTAAAGCAGCTAAAATAACTGAATAACCCAGCTGCTGTGATGTCTGTTAATCAACGAACAAAAGAAAAAAAAAAAAAAAGAGGAAATCAATAACTTTTATTAGCTCTTAAAGCAGCTAAAATAACTGAATAACCCAGCTGCTGTGATGTCTGTTAATCAACGAACAAAAGAAAAAAAAAAAAAAAGAGGAAGTCAATAACTTTTATAGCTTTAAGGATTCATCTATATTTAATTTAGAATTTAGTGTTTGATAACTATCATCAATAACTTTATTAATTTTCTACTTGCTGAAGGGCACAGGTTGTTAAATATGACATTTATTATAAAGGGTTTATGTAAAGATTGTTTTAAGTTCACTTAAATTAGAGGTTGTTACTTTTTGAAGTCTAATAAATGTTAAACTTGATAGGTCTCAATTATACTGTAATGCTGAATGGCTATAATCAATGGTTAAATATTAGGAAAAAAAGACATCAGTACTATTGGTATCAGTGATACTCGCATTCAGTCATAAATTTTTTTTTTTTTAAAATATACTGTCTTTATGTTGTTTCTACATTCATTTGAAGATTGAATGTGACATTTTTGTAATATAAAAGTATATTTAAAAACTTTAATGTTAGGTGGGATTAATCGTGATTATTTTTCAGAAAAAAAAATGTGATTAATAATTTTTTTAATCGATTGACAGCACTAATTAATATTAATATAAGTCACATGAATTCTGATATGACTGTTCAGACTGAGGTCGCATTGCATCTGACCTGTATCTGATTTAGTATCACATATGTTAGTGTCCCAAATCAGAATCTAAAAAAATAAAAATAAAAAAAAAAACAGATTCCATGTGTTTTGTGCTGTTCACACTTTTAAGAAAAAAAACAAAAAACAGATCTGAGTCACGTATGAACAAAAAAAGCAGACTTGGTCCACTTTTGTCTGCAGTCTGAAAGTAGCCTTTGATATTCCTTTGTGTTTGTGTGTGAAGAGAGAGATGTGATTTGTGGACTCACAGGAGTGGAGTTTGAAGAGCAGTTTGACGGTGTAGTCATACAAATGACTAGAGTCCAGAATGACCTGGATAAGAGGGGCCAGACGACACTGACCCGCTGCAGTCACCGACACGGAGCGAGACATATCCAACGAGCTGAACACTGGGAAGAAAGAAACATCAAAAAAAGCCATCATTCCATAGACACTAAAACCCCTTTATAGGATACGTATCTTTCTCTCACGCTCTAATACAAAACTATAAACTTATTATAAATTATTATTATAAATTGTGCATATAAATAATTTATATTAACCATTTATAATAATAATTATAAATGATTATAAATAGTTGTGTGTAAATGTTATAATATGCATATATTAATTAGTCCATGTAAAGCAATATAAAATGCACACATAAAATGTGCTCTGAGTTTATCACACCACAGAAAAATGTTATTAACCACCCAGCCAAATCTGACTAATAAAAAAAAAAAAGTAAATAAAATAAGGTATCAAAATCTTGAAAAAATAAGCAGTATTCTCTGCTCTCAGATGCTGGGGGCGTGTCCACTGGCGGAGCTGAAACCACGCCTACTCACGGGAAAGCTGCCGCCTCTCTCAACTGTCAAATACTGCTACAACCTGAATGGATGCTCCCTCTAGCAGCTTAATTTAAATAGGCCGAGCTTTTTTGTAAATTATCGCAACCAGGTAATATGCATTTACGTGACAAAGGCATAGCTAGCTGGCAAACTGTAGGCTGTAGTAACTAACGGTAATGACAGTAACTCGCATCTGAGCGGGCTAACCACTGATGCTAATGTGCTCTAGTTATTAGGTGTGTTTGACTTGAAGCAGTGCTGCACAGACCGATCGCTGTATGACATCAAAGTACCGCGAGAGCGATTCAAAAGCATAAGGAACCGTCTGCTCTCTATAGCTCTCGCGGTACTTTGATGTCACATCGGTCTGCGCAGCGCTGCTTCAAGTCGAACACACTTCTTTATAGTGTTATGAGAGGGGCCATGCTCAGTGTCTCCAGTGCTGAGACATGATTTCAGCCCCACCCAAAAAATCCTGAACACAAAAATGGGGAAAAACTATTTAACGGTCTAACTCCACAATTCAGTACTACATTGTTCAGTCTTTGTAACGTGTTTCAGCAATACATTTCTAACATTAATAATGTGTTTAGAAACAACTCTCTGAATTGCCTTTACACGGACTTTAATTTATACTAAAATATATACTTATTTATATGCTTTTGTTATAAATAATATTTTCCTACTACCTAAAAACCTGTTTAAAATACTCTAAATAGCCTCAATTCTCAATTGCTAAGTTGCCTTCTTTTAATTTTATGAATCCTTCTTTCACGCCATTCCCTTCAACATGCTGTTTTTCTCAATCAATCCCTTTCATTGCCCATTTCCTCATTCACATTCATCCCCACACTCCCTCCGTCTCTCTGGTGATCAGTGATGCAGGCTCCTGTGAGACCCTGTCTTCTCAGCACAGAGAGGTGTGGTTTCCTGTGCCAGGGAGCTGCGTTTCAGTCAACAACACTCACATTAACTTCTCCCTAATGCTTCCAGCACAGGCACACTGAGATCTATCAGTGTTCCAGCTAGATTTCACTGCCTTTCTCAGCAGAAATATCTATCCCCATAGAGGTGTCACCTGTTTTTTTTACTCTAGAATGCACATTAGCTTTTCTTTACTGTGACCTGAGGTTTAAAAAATGACACATTTTATTGACGTTACTCAAAAGAGTCATGAAAAAGAGATTTTAGCCTTTTTCTATTCAAGTAGATTGAAGCTGTATTTGTCTGCCTATTATCTACTTAGAAAATAACCAAAATGACCGCCAGGTGAACTAACTTAAAAGGGACTTTTCTGGGGTTTTAAACACCTGCACTCCACTTTAAACTTACCGCCCAAGAAAAGGTTCAGCTCACAATCCAAGTAATCAAACATCTCCACCGTCAACTGGAAGCTACATGTGTTGAGAGGAGAGGAAACATGATTAAGTCACATCCCACAAACACACAGAGCAATTTTGGAGCTTTAATTTAATAAAAAAGACTGAAAAAAAAAACACAAAGCTTGCGAGAAACCAAGCAATACTCACAAATTATTGACGTCGTTCTCACCCGCCTCATCAAGCTGTCTGTTTGACATCTGAAGGTTGCCTGGGAAACGAGGATTCTGGAAAAGCAAGTGGGGTAAATGTTATTTTTGTGAGAGTCTGACAGCATAGCCTTTTAAAACACCCATGAAATTCTTTCCTGTATTGATGCATTTCATATTGACACAGGAAGCTGGGGCAAAAAAAAAAATCTAAAAAATATCTATCAATCTAGGCAATAGGCCTAGATAATTAGTAAATGTAGAAAATTTACACATACCACCAAACAATGATTATTTAAAATAAATAAATAAATAAATGTATATATATATGTAAACACAAAAAAATAAAAATTTTATTAAACTATTATTTATAATTATATTATAATAATATTATAATATACTTTGTTTACTATCAATCAATCAATTTATAAAATAATATATATTTATTATTTAAAAACAAAGTAACAAATGTATCTTTAATATAAAATAAATTTTCATGTTATTATTATTATTATACAATCAATTATTTTTTATATACATTTCAAATAATATATATAAATAATAGATGAAAATTGTCATTATTTACTGTAAATGTCATAATTATTAAAAATGAATGCATTCTTTTTTATTATTTAATGTGTGTGAATATTTGCTTGTTTTTTTTCCGTTTTTTTTTTCAAATTTTTTTGGGATTAACAAACCCCAATTAGTTGTCATGGGGTCACAATATAACAATAAAGACTGGAAAAGTCTGGGAATTAAGATCAGAGGAGGAGCGTTAGAAGATGGATGTTCTTCAAGGCTTCAGTCACTCACTTTGATGTGAAACTCCATTTTGGTTATGAGCAGTTTAAGGTAGATGCTGCACAACTTGCCGTAGCCTTCACTCAAATGACCCTGAGAAGAGAGAGAGGAGCGTGAGAGCAAGAAAAACACTGAATGCTTCAAAAGGAAATGATGTCGTTGCCCTTCCATAGCAGCAGTAGCAGCTAATGAGTCCTCGTCTCATTCTCAGCTGATCAGCTCACTTCACAGTCCAAAGTGTGAGTCACTGTGGGCAGATTAAGGTCATGTTTGGTGTTTGTTGACATGTTTGGTGTACACATATAATAGAACCAGCTGCAAGTCAAGTTAATGAGCTCATTCTTTCACTTCCTGTTCACTTCACCACTTACTGTGACATCATAACAGGAAGGGGACAGAGCTTTTTGCATGAAATGTTTCTTCTGAGTTTAATCCTGCAGCACGCTCAGCAACTCAGCATGTTCCATCTGACCCTTCCTGTCTGCTAGTGATACACAGCTAATCGTAAAATGCACTAGAAACACTTGCATTGCTGACAATAATGCTAAAGTCAACATGAAATGGCATTCACAACTTACTGCATTAGGGCTACTCGATTAATCAAAATAAATCTGAAATCAAAATATGGTTTAGTGAGATTATCAAATCGCAAAGGCTGTGATTTAATTATTGTATATACAGAGCGTGTTTCAGAGTGAAGCGCAGCACTGTGTTCTTCTACACATGAGCAGCTCGTGATCCAGTGTTTTCAGTGTCTCAGATCAGCTCGGTTTACAGTAAATTCTGCTCCATATAATCTCATCTCTGCATCTGCTCTGAGTTTGGGATGCTTATAACATGCATTCAAAAACTTGAAATGTACCAACCATCTTCCCAATCTTGAAAAATGAGAAGTGTTAATAAACCGACTATTGTCAAAAAAAGACAAGCTTTAAGGACTTCCAGTGATTTTCCACCAAAATAAAAGTTTGCAGGTAAAACTTTTGGAAATAAATAAATAAAGATGGCCATAAATAATTAGTATTGTTGCATAATAATGTTGCATTTGTATAATAAAATATAAATATTATCATTAATACATGATTTTTCTTATATATTCAATTTGCTTATTTGCTAGCGAAATATTACAATAATAATATTCCTTATTTTATTTAAAATTTTATTTAGTAACAACAACAACAATTATTTTTTATTGTTATTATTACCAGCATATTGATATATAATCACAAAATATTCTGCTAAACTGTGCAATCCTGCAAATAAGCACAGCAAACATATCAGAAAAATCACACTTAAATTTTCTCCCCAAATCTGTAATTTGGCAGCTACAGATTTTCTTGTATAAACACCCATTTATGCTATGTAAGAAAAACAATTAATTTTTTCATTTTACATTGTATTTAATAAAGAAAAAATATAATCTGGAATATATTGTCTTTATTTTGGAATCAATTTGTCTTTAGTATTAAATATGTCAATATATCAATCAAACAATCAATAATTTATTTATAGAGCACAATAAAAACAACATTAGTTGACCACTGTGCTGAACAACATCAAATATAAGTTCTAGATAAAAGACCAAAAGAATAAAAACATCCAACAACACACACTTCATAAGAGCACTTCATGAGATATCAGGGATGTCTGACTGGTACACTCATAACAAGCAAAGCTCTGTAAGCATTCCTCCAGAGTGCCAAACACACGCTCACGTCATCGTTAGCTAATTACAGATCATCTCTGCGCTGAGGTTAGTGTGTCTGACTCATACACAGAATGCCAAGCTATTCAGCTGTCAATCAGCAGTAACGAAATGGCTTGCTGACAGTTTCCACAATGAGATGAAAACTCAAGGGAACTCGACAGGGCCTCATTCAATACGACAGAGAGTTATATTGAGCGAGCCTCAGTTTTAGTGGGAAATCATTAAAACCAGCAGCCACAACTTGTGTTCACATGCTTACCCACATCCTGCTCATGTCGTTCAGGTCAGCCTTGTGCCGAATGGAGTCCTTAATGACCTGAGGTGACAGAGAGACAGAGGAAGAGTTGAGACAGCATTCTAAAAATAAAATAAAATAAATAAAATAGATACCTCTAATTCTCTCATTCTAATTCTCTCTTTTAAACCTCATTTAAATACCTAATTTTACCCTCAAATTAGATCAAATTAAATTCATACCTCTAATTACCATCAAATAAGATACCTCAAAATAAAATTAAATAGAAACCTCTAATTACCATCAAATAAGATGTCTCAAAATAAAATAAGATACCGCATATTAACCTCAAATTAAATAACTCAAAATAAAATAAAAGCAAGTTTAAAATTACTTCAAGTTTAAAATAAAATAAAAATGCCTCGTATTATCAACTAAGATACCTCAAAATAAAATAAAATGGAAGCCTCTAATTACCATCAAATAAGATACCTCAAAATAAAATAAGATACCGCATAAAAACATCAAATTAAATAACTCAAAATAAAATAAAATGGAAGCCTCTAATTACCATCAAATAAGATACCTCAAAATAAAATAAGATACCGCATAAAAACATCAAATTAAATAACTCAAAATAAAATAAAATGGAAGCCTCTAATTACCATCAAATAAGATACCTCAAAATAAAATAAGATACCGCATAAAAACATCAAATTAAATAACTCAAAATAAAATAAAATGGAAGCCTCTAATTACCATCAAATAAGATACTCAAAATAAAATAAGATACCGCATAATAACCTCAAATTAAATAACTCAAAATAAAATAAAATAAAAGCAAGTTTAACATTTCTTCAAGTTTAAAATAAAATAAAAATGCCTCATTATCCTCAAATAAGATACCTCAAAATAAATAAAATCAACTAAAATAAAATAGGTACCGCGTATCTTAGAATGATTTATCTGAAAATAGGCTAGGTATTGGCCAAATATAAATTTAAATAAATTTAAATTTGTTTAAAATGTCTTCAAATTTACATACAATAAAATCAAATTTAAAGAGGTATCCAAAGAGCAGGGTGTTTTATGGCCAATATTTGATACGGTTTAAGCATAGCACACACAAATATTGGGTAAAACAACATCTTTTTAATTAAGCTGAATTATTTTTATTGATAATTTTCAGTATGGAATGAAATATCAGAATGTATTTTGGGACCGACCAATCTGCATAGGTTATATACAGCACTGCCTTGAATTTAGCCAAAAAGGGTCTTAGATGGCAGCATAATGTTGCTGCTAACCTTTTTGAACAGATTTTGGGTCAGGATTGAGCATATGGCACCTTAAAATGCTGTCTAAGTAGACAGCTGATTAGGTTTTTGGAACAGGGCTTGTGAGAGTTGATGTGGAATTGCTCAATATGGATCACACACACACACACACACACACACACACACACACACACATACACATTATGTGTCACTGATGCATACTGCGTTTACTTTGGGGAGCTGATTTGAGTGTGTGAGAAAAATGAATTAATCAAAGGGAGAAGCAGATATCAAGAAACTAAGCGCTTGAGAGAAAGTGAGAGTGAGGTGGAATTAGATGTTTAAGAGATAATATGGCTTTACTCACATTTGGATGGCCGTCCCTCAGCAGCTTGTGGAAGACGTGGCAAAATTTCCAGCAGAGCACTGCATTGCTGGAAAGGGGCAAACGGTTGACAGCAAGCCAGAATGTGTGAGCCCCCTTCTCATGATGCGTGCCCAATATGCACGGTGAAGACGCCAGTCAAGGACAAAACTGAGGGGTTTGGGACTTAAAGTCTGCATCTCTGAGATTTCCGCATCTTAATCCAGATACTCCAGATACCTGAACCAGCCTTCTGGGAGAAGGACTAACCAAACCACATCATTTAAATGAATATTAAGTACTGAAGCAAAGAAACACTGATGTGCAGCTACATGGAGTTACATATATATTTATCCAAAAAAGAACTGAAATATATAAACCCCATAGCCAATACATGATACAATTAATTGCATATATTATGATACAATTAAATTTATACAATAATACAAGCACAGTTATGGGGTGATGCTGATAAAGTCATCATGGCCAAATATTAGGAGATTAATTGGTATGTCTGGTATATGGGAACATGGTACCTGTGGTATCAAATATTAGGCCATTTAATGGCCAAAACAAAACAAAACAAATAAATAAATAAAATGAAGTAAAATAAAATAAAGCACATTTAAATGCTCAAGTTTATAAAATAAATACTCCATATTATTCTCAAATTAGAAATTGAATTAAAGTAATTACAAAAAAAATTTATAAATTAATTACTAAAACAACATAAAAGCAAGTTTAAAAGCTCTGCAAATTTATAAAATACCCTCAAATTAGATTCTTCAAAATAAAATTAATTAAATACACACAAAAAAGCTAATTTAAAGTTTAAAAGTTTAAAATATTGGCAGGTGAATTGGTTTGTCTGGGTTACTGATACCTAGTATCTTAGCTTGAGGTATCTTAAAAGCAGGTTATTCATTGGCCAAAACAAAACAAATCAAAACAAAAAACTAAATTAAATAAAATATTAATAAATAAATAAAAACGGGTATAAATGCTCAAGTTTGTATTTGTGTATATATACTGTATATATTTATTTAAATTTTTTCCTAAAAGTAGGGCTTTCAATGACCAGAATAAATCGAAACAATGATTATTTAGTGATGTCGACGATATCAAGTAGATTTGAATTTTGTCTAATTTGAGGTTATCAGGTGATGCCATATGCTTATAAAATAAGCATCATAATTCCTTTTTAACCCTCACATTCCTTCGTTTTCTCTTTCAGGGCGACACAAACAAAAGGATATTCCTGGCATGCTTCTCTTTGACAGCAATCTCCTGTGTGTTGATGGCTTTGTTGATGCTCACTGCCTGTGGAAAAGGGAGAGAGGAGAAAATTTATTTTTTGGGCCCTTCGTTCAGCCTTTCTAGTGAGGTTAAAGATTAAAAACCAGCTCATTGCTGAAGAGTCTTCCTGTGTGCTGATGGAAACAGTGAGTTTTAGTGTTTCACTGGAGCCTTATTGAGCCACTTTAACCACCGCTGTGCAACCGCCACTGAATACTAATGAAGTTGAGCTCAAGGAGTGTTTGACAGGCAGCATGACCTAAAACACTATTACTGCTTGGGCTACATCCTCCTAATAGAACCATATACATACTGACAATGTTGAGAGCTCTGAAGCAGAACAAACTTGTGAGAGACATTGAAAAAGCATTAGCCATATGTTTTCTTTCCTGTTTCTGTCACAGATGCCAAACTGCCATCAGTTCTAGGTACCTTCACAACGTAAACAGTGTTCCTGTTTAAACAACCATCACATTTTCGGCATGGTCAGCTGAGTGTAATGAACTCTTATTCGCCCATCAGATAATGCACATGGTTGCATGAGCCAATTAAGGTGTGGCAGGGCACTCAAGTCTCTCAGTATTACTTCATCTAAATGTCCACACTCTTTTTTATTTAGAGAAACAAATGCTGTAGGTCTAAAACAAGTTTTAAAAAAGGCAACACCAGTTCATTTCCGATGCAAAAGCTGTCCAAAAACGCCAAATTCTAATGGCATTGCACATATGTGTCACAAAGCAGACAATCCCATGATGCAATTGCAAAGAACTCAGTGAAAAAAAAATATGTGCAAGATGGCAGACAAGTCAAGCTAAATGACTATTGTAAATATTTTTGGTAACACTTTACAATAAGGTTTCATTTGTTAACATCGCTAGTTATCATGAACTAACATGATCACTATGCAAAAATACAATATCACAATAACAATAAAACTTCCATAGCATTTATTAATCTAAATGTTAATATCAGCATTTATTAATAAATTTTTGACTACTTTTTAACAAATATTTGCATGTGTTGTGTATTTTCTAGTGTGGGCAGGTGCCAAATCCTGCTGGAAAATGAAATCAGCATCTAGCCTGCCCTATAGCATGGTGTATTTTTATTCATTTTGTTAATAAAAGTTCTATTTTATATATAGTCTAAAGTGAGTTTGACGTTGTATTTTGTTGTTGCATTCAAGCAATTGATGCTGAACTGCCGCTAATTCAAAAGTGAAAGTAAAATGCGCACGCCGCTTTTACAAGTTATTTAAAAGTGAAGGAAAGCGAGGAAAAGAGGGAAAATTCAAACGAACTAAAAACGAACAATTGCTTTACGCCGAATTGCCGCTATTTGAAAGTGAAAGTAAAATGCCCACGCCGCTTTTACAAGCTATTTAAAAGCGAAGGAAAGCGAGGAAAAGACGGAAGCCCCGCCCTCGCGGTGATACCGGTATTACCGGTGTTGTCACACGTCGATTAACCAGTGGGAAAATTTCCTCACCGTCACAACCCTACTTGAAAGAAATTAATACTTTTATTCACCAAGGACACATTAAATTGATCAAAATTGGTAATAATGACAGCACAACTGTTTTCAACATTGATAAGAAATGTTTCTTGAGCAGCAAATCAGCATATTAGAATAATTCTGAAGGATCATGTGAACTAAAGACTGGAGTAATGATGCTGAAAATTCACATGATGCCTTGCATCACAGGAATAAATGACATTTTAAAAAATATTAAAATACAAAACAGTTATTTTAAACTGTAATAATATTTCACAACATTACTGGTTTTGTTGAAGAGGCCAGGGATCATCCTGACAAGAAATTCTGGCAAGGATGCTGAGAGAATGCTGTTGTAGTGTGTATAAAGGTGGCGTCGTATGCACACAGAGTTCAGTCTTCATCCCTGTGCGGCTTCTGCTGCCAGACACACTGTTAAAGGTGACAAAGCATGGCTTTGTTTAGACAAAATAGATCTGTGGGATGAGCGTCTCATTGAGTCACAACTGTGATCTCAAACATGAGGACAAAGATAAAGAAAGGACAGCAGATTGGACAAATCCATCCAGGTTTCTTATGGACCAACCCAACAACATGTTTTTAGCCAATGCTCTTCCGCTAAAAACGGCACCTGTCCTTGAGAAGTTGGTTTCTTCCATCACTCTCCAACAACCAATGATGCATTCAGAGCTGATAAACATATGACTAAAACCGTCCATGATCCATAAAGTCTATAAAAAGATAATCAGTAGAAATGACGTCAACAAATTTCCATCAAAACAGAGGAAATGAAGACCTTTAAAAATGAAGGAGTAGATAAACAGCAGGAGTCTAAGAGATCGTGATGCTGGTGTGAGGAGAGGTGTGACCCAATTTGTCCACACTAGGACTTTGTCGTCTGTGTGAATGAGTTGTGCCAGCTGCCCAGGCCTTTTGGCACTGGTGAGTGAATTTACTGGCATCCCGGCCCATTCTCTCTCTCACAGGCACAGGCAAATGGTAAGATGAAGCGATAACCACTTATTAAAGTAAGAAGAGAGAAATAAGCTGGGAAAGATTACAAGCATGTAGATGAGCATAATGTCATCACATACTTAACCCTGTAAAGCCTGACATATGAAATAATAATCAGAATTTTAATAAATGGAAAATTTTGTTGAACATTCAGACAAATTCAAATAAAAAGAATCTAGAAAAAAATTTAGTATATTTGATACTTGAGGCTCATTTAGTCTGGATATAGAGCTCATATTCAAGGAGGAGAAAAAAAACACCAAATAAGCGAGCAAAAAATGCAATTTGGTGCTTACATAAAATGCATCTATATATCTATACAGTGGGTACGGAAAGTATTCAGACCCCCTTAAATTTTTCATTCTTTGTTATATTGCAGCCATTTGCTAAAATCATTTAAGTTAATTTTTTTTCCTCATTAATGTACACACAGCACCCCATATTGACAGAAAAACACAGAATCGTTGACATTTTTGCAGATTTATTAAAAAAGAAAAACTGAAATATCACATGGTCCTAAGTATTCAGACCCTTTGCTCAGTATTTAGTAGAAGCACCCTTCTAACCCCAAACTTTTGAATGGTAGTGTATTGTTAAAAAAGGATTTATATTTTAAATAAACGCTGTTCTTTTTTTAACTCTTTATTCATCAAAGAGTCCTGAAAAAATAAACACAGGTAATAAAAAAAAATATATTAAACAGCACAACTGTTTCCAAAATTGATTATAAATCAGCATATCAGAATGATTTCTGAAGGATCATGTGACCCTGAAGACTGGAGTAATGATACTGAATATTCAGCTTTGCTTCACAGGAATAAATTATATTCTAAAGTATATTAAAATAGAAAACTGATATTTTAAATTGTAATAATATTTCACAATATTACTGTTTTTTTCTGTATTTTTTATCAAATAAATGCAGCCTTGATGAGCATAAGAGACTTCTTTAAAAAGTATATATCTTTCATATTTAAAACAAATATGTATGGACAGTCAAGTAAAATGCAGTTGCTTCAGTCCAGTAAATGTTCATCTTGAAATATTACTAACAACAAAAAAAGTTATTCTTACATGTATTTTAAAAAAATCTGTAAAGATCTCACAGCATAAAGACAAATGTCCCATGACCTGAAGAGGAATGTTTTTAGAATGATACTAAAAGGACTTTTACTTGCTAAAATGTATGAACTATAATTCAGATAACTATAATTGAGAAGGCATGTACCAGACTGTGTACAGCAGGTTTTTCAACAAGTTGTCCATGTTGATAATATAGAGGCCTTTGAAATTTGCAAATCAAATATTGTACAGTAGGGATAGCTTTATTAAAGGGATAATTCAACCAAAAAAAAATAATTCTGTTGTAATTTACTCACCCTCATGTCATTCTGTATGACTTCATTTTTTATAAGTGGAAATAACTTATTTTGGGACTCGTAGGGATCTTTATATGACACTCAGATTTGCATTCAGAAATGCAGTGTCATCCTACACAAAAAAACGATGCAATTGCTTTATTATTTCTTCCCTTCAAACCAGAATGAGTAACTCCATTTCCTACTTCTGCATTTCAAAGAAAGCTCTCCAAACAGCCTGTTATGCCACAAGTAATTTATTCAATCTCTTGCCTACAGCAATATCAACCCATTAGACACTTAATTACTGTGGCACTTTTTCTATATTGAGCTGACGCAAACTTGTTAAGCACAGCCTATGTGACTGATGATCTGCAAACATCTGCTTTGCGAACCATTCTGACAGTCATGTTGTACAGAACTGCCAAATGCACAATATCAATCAATGGGAGACAGGAGTAATGCACTACAAGGATATTAAGGCCAGCTGTCCTCATGTGACCCATCTGCCTTGAGAGGAGACTGTAAGGAAATAGCTCTCCTCATATTGAGGTTTATACTTTAACCCATGATGTTCCACAGTTACATAGACTGGGATGCTATTAGAAATAATTAGTGGACAACTTTTGCAACTGAACTCTTTTATTTGGGGGTGGGCGACTGTATGCTTGAATGGGGGTGAATAGAATATAAGAGTGTCCAAAATAAAGAAAAGAAAAAAAACTTTTTATCAGAAAACAACTTCTGATAACAGATCACTCTAAATTGTAATGTAGACACATGTATTTTCTGTAAAGCTGCTTTGAAACAATGTGTATTGTGAAAAGTGCTATATAAATCAATTTGAATTGATTTGAATAGTTTTAAAAAATAATTTCCCTTGACACATTCCTCCTCGAGTTGAGTGCACATTTTAATTATTATTTTCAAAAAAGTTTTTAAGTGTACACTACATTTCAAAAGTTTGGGGTCAAAAGTTTTAAACAAATTCATATTTTTTAATGCAAGAATGCATTATCAAAAATGACAGTACAGACATTTACAACGTTACAAAAGATTTGCATTTCAAATAAATGCTGTTCTATTCAAAGAATCCTGAAATGCATCACGATTTCCACAAAAATAATAAGTACCACGAGTGTTTTCAACATTGATAAT